GCCGAAGCTTCGGCTTCGGCAAAATTTTAGCTTCGGTACATCCCTAGTTTTAAAGTTATTATACGTATTAAAATTATGTGGTTGCAACAATAAGTTTTTAATAATATTGTTGGACAATCTGTCTTTAAATCTTTTTTAAATATTTCTGAACAATGTAAAAATAGTTTTTCTCCAAATGCTGTGTTGACTACTCTTTTTTGCAACAAATGATTTATGAGGCAAAACAATCCTATATGTTTCTTGAGAGTAATAAATATATAATACATACATACATATATATATATATATATATATATATATATATATATATATATATATATATATATATATATATATTGAATATATTACAATTAATTATATACGTGTACGTAACGGAAATGGTCGCCCTACTATTTAATTAAAAATATCTGAGCTATTGCGCGTCATCATTTAACTTGCTGAACACGAATCTGTTCACCCATTGTATATATGGTTTCCATGAAAGGTCAGTATTAAGCGATAATCCAGGAAGACGTAAAGAAGAGGACTCAGTAAAAGGATTGCCATTCATTAATATAGGAATGTTGACCATATTACGGTAGTTGTTTGCAGTAAGCAGGATAAGAAGCAACCTTAAATTGTACTGAGTAAGAGTACAATTTAAGGTTGTAAAAATTCTATTGGACTATATTTTTATAACTTATTCACTTATAATTTTTTAATTACTTAAGAAAGACCCTCAAATCGTTGGATGAGCTTGGTGACGAGCTTGAAAAGAGAGGCTAACATCTCAGTAGAATTGCTTTATGTACTCGGTTGATGCCAAATCGGAGCAAATTGTTTAAAGAAAAGAGACACGTCCACACAGTCCTAATCAAGTTGATGCGAGTCCAAAACAATCTTCATTCAAGTCAGGAGGATGATCTATTTTGAACAGCAACTATAAAGAATGTGGAAGAAGTTTGCGCTTTTTTAGTCCCCAAGGATGTTTTATAAGTCAAGACAACAAATAACAAGCTTGGATTCCAATTTGAGTCACCGCTGCTGACAATAAACCTTCTATATTCATACATATGGAATATCAATTTTTTTCTTCTTGATTGGATCATCCCCGCAAATTACGAAGCTTATCCCGTCTCTTTACCCAGGTTTTGAAATCAAACGAGACGGGCTTGGAAGATCTTACGCAGTTTCCTATTTCGGTCCTTTTTTAATTGCTGTTCGATCTAGAAAGCATTCATCATCAACAGTGCATGGTCACAGATTGGATTTTAAACAACTTTTGACTCTGCCAGAGTTCGATTCCATTAGAAAAGATCCTTTGACCAAATTGGTCAAACCAGTGGTTGTTTTCAGTGTTGGTTTAGCGGGATTGTTTCTCTTTCATGATAATTATGAAACTCATCTGAACTATCGAGGAATTCAAATTCATTTTTAATATCGACTCTATATATTGTAATTATCAAATTACAATATATATAGCAAGACTTAAAAAATTAATATCTGCATTGCGACTTATATTTAAGGTAGGACAGTGGATCTGCTTTCGGAGAAACATTATTTTGATTTCACTGGAAAGATCTGTGCCTAAATCTTTTCAAGTCTGATGATTGACAAGATTCAGTATCAAGTGGTGGTTAAGTATATTAATTCAAACAGCAAGACGGAGCTCAATGGTTGTCATCTCTTTTTGAAGGATTAAGAATGGTTAACCACTCGTGTGCGTACCAGCATATATTTTACGCAAATTGTGAAATGTGAGGTTCCCGTATGTTGTTCTTTGAAAAGGAGCTCTTATTTTCATGTTATTCCTGGTCGATTTCTGCCTCTAGATATTCCAATCTGCCAGTTAGAAGACAGCTTAAAAGCTGTATCCGTTTCAGAAGTCACCAGCAAGAATTGTTTAGTATTTTTTCTAATTGTTTCCAGTATTCAGACCATAAAATCATTCAAACTTCCTCCTTACGATCTGTTTGTTCCTCTGCACAATCAAGTTTATTTCAGAGAATCTGTAAGCATTATAACTTGTACTTTGCCTCCCAAGTCATATTAAACAAGCATGTCAGCATTACTCATTTAATTTTATTAACTAAATGGCTATTTTTTTTTTGTGAGTTATACCTGTTCGAATTGCTGCCAAGTGCAAAAGAAAGTTAATGGCTTTAATTGATCTAGAAGAGAGCGCGGCCTTTGGTGAATGATAGCCTCTCTTTTCAAATCCCTATTCCAACGTTAAGCATCTTTAACGTCCGAAAACTAGGATTTTTAGGGGTTGGGCAAATTGGGATATATAGAGATAGGCGCATCGCAGTGTACATACATCGACTGATTTATATAACCATAAGCATAGCGAGTGTGCATACATTGACTAAGGATTTAGATTTGGGCAGGTTGTCTTGAACTGAAAAATTAATCTTTTTCATGTTTGTGAACTTTAAGGAGACGTCGGAATAGAGGTTTGATAAGAAAGCTCACCTTGTGGAGTAGTTCGATGATTATGAAATCAAAACATAGGACCTTAATATTCCAAATGGTTGCGACTATTTCAGACAAATCGGACTGCCCTATTCCAATCATATCAATTGACGATTATTTAAAAATACTTTCGATGGACGAAAAGTGAGACTAGTTCCCATGACACACTTTGATTAATTTTAATATACAGTATATAAGTAATATAACAGAATCTTATTTTTTCAGAGAGGTCTACAAAAACAAACAACTGAAATAAACGTGAAAATACACAATATTAGCCAACTACTAACATTAGCCAACATTAATCCTTATACGTCCGCTTTAAATAACCCCACATGTTTTCTTGCAAAATGTATCAGAATTCACTAAGTAATCATCTCGATATTTATATTTTTTGTTTGCGCCAAATTAGTGAAAGTTGGAAATTGATATATTATAGCATTGTAGCTATAATATAGTAATATTCTAATTAAGCCTAATTTACTTAGCTATACTATACCAGCATTATATGCACTTCTAGAATATATATAATTAGTAAATGTTAATAAATAAGTAGGGGGAAATATACTCTTGATCCTAAAATCCAGGGGGATGAAAACCGGGGAAAAAAACATACGAAAGACAAAATTATAGAAATAATATGTTAATGGTTCTAATAGACTTTAAGAAAGTATATATTTTTTTATATTTGATATTAATTCTACAACTATAATTAAATTAGAAGGTAGTAAAATTGCCCATCTTAGAGTAAATCAGTTACCAACTGGTCAAATTTAATCAGTTGGTACCGATTTACTCTAGAATGGGCAGTTTTATAACTAGAATAAAACGACGTTTGCAAACGTCATTTCATTTGAGTTTTTGGTCAGGGTTAAAGAAATCATTTGTGATTAAATTAATGTTATGCTGTTTTCTGATTAGTTTTATTATTTAGAGTAGTTACTTTTTCTAATAATTTAAAAGTGTTTAGTTCAATCAGTACTTTAAAGAACACTTGATATTTATAAAGTTTTTTGCACTGCACATTTGTGAAATTTTTAAAATCATTTTTGACATAGGCAAAAATGTGTCACAAATGATTTAAAAAATTTTAAATATCAAGCCAGTGAATAAATAACCATTTTCAAAATATCAAACATTTCATTAATAAACCATTTTAAAATATCTATAATGTACATCTTCATATTTAATTCACAATAATACATATTTCATTTCATAGTTATATGCAAACTATTGTTATTATTGTTCTTATTTTTTGTTTAGTTATATATATAGAATTAGTCACTTTAGCGCATGCTATTAGTTAATTTTATTAATGTTTTTTCCAAGACTGAGAGAGTCACTACAGTCAAAGAGGTTACTTTATTGTGGTTACAAACCTCTCTCAACTCTTTAACTCAAAAGCAAGAATCTTGACAATCAAGGTCGGTGCATTCTGATCTCTGCTTTAATAACATAAAAGACTTACATACTTACAATTTTTTTTGGTAGCAACCTTAGACTGCTACCAAATCATTTTTTAAGTGAAAGCGCTTTTGCAACTTGACTACCAAATGGAAAATCCATCTGTATCGTTGCTGATTAGTAGTTGCTGATTAGTAGGCTAAGTTCCGCTACTTCCCAGCTGATTATTGCAAGCTATTAACGCTATCTATTAACTTTTAGTTATTTACTTTAATAGTTAGTTTTTGTTTAAATGAAAAAAGATTTAATTTAAAGTTTTTATTAATAAAGTGAAAGAAAATAAATCTTTCCTTAACAAGAACCACTTCTAAAACCTTTTTTTTAAATAATTGGCTGTATCGAGGCTGATGTGAACCTGTAGCAGCACATCACTGCACACACACACACACACACACACACACACACACACACACACACACACACACACACACACACACAAACACACACACATATTAATGTATACATTATATTATGTATACATATACATATAATTAAATTATGTATACATATATAAATTAATATATATGTAATAATAATAATAATAATAATAATATATATATATATGTATATGTATATATATATATATATATATATATATATATATATATATATATATATATATATATATATATATATATATATATATCAGCCCTCGAAATTAGGTTCAGCATCTGGCAATGCCGGCCTAACTCCCAACTTTAAAAAAGTTTAAGGTCTGCAAAAAATTGCCGACCTTGATGACGTTTTATGGTAACCTATTTGTATCAATATATTTTTGCTGACCTGATGCTCAATGTTCTTAAAAGAACAGAGCAATTATAAATTAGTAGAAAATCACTTAACAAATTTTTGTTTTCATTTTACACTGTTTCATCAACAAAGACTCATCAGAAATGAAATAAAAAGTTTTTGTTAAGTGATTTTCTACTAATTTATATATATATATATATATATATATATATATATATATATATATATATATATATATATATATATATATATATTATATATATATATATATATATATATATATATATATATATATATATATATATATATATATAATTAAATAATAATAAATAGAATTATAATTTTTGCTACAGGACAGTGTAATTTTTGACTATAGGACAGTGTTCATTTAAAATATAAGTAATGCTAGAGTTGTTATCTAAAATCGTTAACTTTATATCAGGAGGAGTTTTTGGGCATGTCTTAGTGCAAATTAATAACCTTAAAAAAGAAGATTTGCAAAATCATGTTGATGAAGAGTCACAGTCAGAGATTAATGATAAAAATGAAAATATTTATAGTTCATTTGAAGGAGTAGTTACAAGTTACTTTAACAACCGTGGTTTAATAAACAATGAAATATATTTTACACAGAATGTTGTCTTGGGAAACGAGCAACCAAAAGTTGGAGACAATGTATCTGTTGAGGCAACACGTCTTCATAGTGATGGCGGTTGGATAGCTAAAAGAGTTCAAATTTTAAATTTATGGGGTTCAGTTTTTGATGACAATGCAAATAAACCAGAAAAAGAACTATATGTTGGTTCAGTAACATCAGTTGATAATAATAAAGTTACACTTTTTGTAAATTCAGAATTTTATTTAACTCCAAGAAAATTTAAAATTGGTTACAAACCCTTTATTGGTGATTGGGTGCAAATTGAAGTATGGAGGCAGTCAATTGAAAGTAATTTTTTAATTTCTGACGAAAATGTCATATGCGTTTCACCTTTAAGAGAAAAACGAGTCCATGGAACTGTTACTGAATTGCTCAGAGGTTATGGATTTATAAATGAAACTTTATATTTTTCATTTTCTGTTTGTGAGCGTGGTGTTTATTTAAATATTGGTGATAGTGTTGTTGCAGATATTATAGAATCAAAGCAGCGACGGGATGAGTGGAGAGCAACTTATGTTTCACGCAAGGTTACTGTTAAAAAAAATATTGAAAAGAATGAAAACTTAACAAATATAGATAATAAACCTATATCTGATATTTCTATAAGTGATGATCTTAATTTTGGCAGTATACAATTAAATTGTAAACGTTCTATTGAAATATCTATAAGGTTTTTAATGAATTTTTTTTCGAAATTTTTTACTTACTTTATTTTTTTAAGTTATATAATAGCTTTTCTTTTTAATTAATTTATTATCTTTATGTTAGATAATATTATTTATTTTCTTATGGTATTAATTTTATTATTATTTAGTAATACAGGAAAAGAGGCAAGAATTTTTTCAAATATTGAACAGTTTAAAAAAGTGCAAGGATTTTTTTGCAATCTATCTCAAAATAAATCAGGTATCATAAGAAATTATTTTTTAATTGTATATATATACCATAATATATGTGAAGTTCTAGTTTATATGATACAATCTAAACAAATGTAAACCTTGCCTGTTCTTGCCAGAAAAGTGAGGTTTAAATTTTTAAAAACTTTTTTTTTGAAATTTGATTTTGAAAATTCAAGTTATAAAATTAAGATCACTGTAAAACAAATATTAAGATTAAAATGAAGATTAAAGTCATGAAAAAATTTTATCATTTTATATTTTCATGTCTTTATGTATTTATGAATCACTGTTTTTTTTAGATTCAAAGTTGTTTTTTTACAAAAAATAAGTCATAGTTTATCCATTACATTTTAATTGGTTTTTTAAATTAATCATAGAAGTAATGTCGTTTAGAATTTAAATTAATCATAGAAGTAATGTCGTTTAGAATTTAAATTAATCATAGTAGTAATGTCGTTTAGATATACAAATTTAGTTTGTGCTGTAGATGAAATTTTGTTAACAGCTAATTGTTTTAAAAATGAGTAGATAGTTTACACCAATTCACAGTTTATATCCGGTTGTTCTAACCTCAGCAGGAAATAAGAATTTACATCTCCTACAGTAGTTGTTTTCCATTTGTTAATAAAAAAACACTCTTTGAAATTATAGCGTAGTATGAACTTGTAACATAATGTAAATAATTGTTAAACTTTACACAGCTGCTGCATGTAAAAAATCTAAATCTGTTCATCTAGATCATTTGTTTAAAAGCAACTGGTTTTAAACTCCCATTTTCAATAAAAGTTCTGTTAGGCATTATAATTTGTTTTGAGTTTGCTTTGTGTAACACTGTCATGTTTCTTATTTTGAATGGGTTTTATGAAAACCTTAACTTGTATCAAATTTAAAAAAAGTTGAATGTTTTTTATCTAACATGTTTCTTCTCCGCATGTGTTTAACATAAGTATACCAAGGCTAGATGTAATAGACTTCTGATCTTAATATTAAAAACTGTAAACATTTAAATGTATGGTTTAAACAAATAAAATAAATTATTAGATTTTAAAACTTGATAAAATAATAATTACGCTAAAATTTTAAGTAAAAAACCGTGAGAATAACGCACATCTGAAAAGTAATTTTTATTAACTTTTCAATAAGTTAAGCTTGCTATGCTTGAATAAATTTGAAAAAAATGAAAATGCAAATAAATTTTTTTAAAATTAACTTGTCAAACTTGAAAAAATAAGCAATTACATTAAATAAATACTGAATTTATAATAAACAAATATTATATATTTTTTAAAAAATATATTTATTTTTGCATGCTTAAAGACTTAAAGAGATTTAAGTCGAAAGTTATATGCCATCGTAAAGCAAATATAAGTAGACCATACATACATATATAGACATACATACATACATATATAGACATGCATTTTTTTTTTTTTATCATCTTCGCTTCCAACAAGGCTGCAAGCAACCACTAATTAGTGTTGAAAGTTACTAGAAGAGAAAAGATGAAGATTGTAGAGCAAGATAACGATTGACAAACGACTTAAAAGATTGCAAATTATATGAATCAGGAAAGCAAGATGAAGGAAACGAATTCCAAAAAACTGATGTTCGAGTAAAAAAACTAGACAAATAAGAGTTTTTGGAGCACTTAGGAACAGTAACAGAAAAAGGATGAGACTTAATTGAATGACGAGTAACTCGAGAATGAATTTTAGTAGATGGCACAAGAGACGCTATTTCTTTACAGCAATGCCTATTATAGTATTTGTAGAAAAGAAAAAGAGAAGCAACATTATGACGATGTGACAAAGGTTGAAGGTTGGCTGCAAGAGCAGGTCCAACTATGTTTACAATACGTTTTTGCACTTTGTCTAAAAGAGAAAGGGCATCATTAGAAGATCCGTCCAGATATAGCAACAGTATTCCATACAAGGCCGGATTTGAGATTTATAGAGATAGAGAATAGAATCCAGAGTTAGAAAGTGTTGAGCTCGATAAAGAGATGCAACTTTAGCAGATGCTGATTTTGCAACAGATTTGATATAAGGTTTCCAAGAAAGATCAGAAGTAAATGTGAGAATATCTGGAAGATCATTAATGTAAATTAGAAAAAGTATAGAGCCAAGGATTGAACCTTAAGGAGCCCCTTAGGTTACAGAACAAGAAAAAGAGTGCTGTCCATCAAGGACAACTTTTATACTACGATCAGAAAGAAAGGATTCAATAATCTTAAAAATGTTTCCAGATGCACCGAAAGAAGAAAGTTTATAGAGAAGACCAGCATGAAAACTTTATCAAACGCTTTAGAAATGTCAAGAGCAATGGCCTTAACCTCTCCACCTTTATCTAATGTGTGATAAAACCTATTGGTTATTACTGTTAGCAAATCAGCCGTAGAACGAGAAAATCGAAATCCATATTGATGATCAGAAAGTAAGTTATTAGATTCAAGATGAGAGATTAAGTGTTTGTTAATTAAAGATTCAAAAACCTTGCTTATGATAGGGAGAAGACTAATGGGGCGGTAGTTAGACGAATCAGATCGCTCTCCAAAATTTTTAAAAATAGGGATAACAAATGCTGCTTTCCAGCAGGCTGGAAAACAAGACTCTGATAAGCACTTGTTGAATAGTTTTGAAAGGATAGACGACAGCTCCAGAGAACACTTCTGCAAGACTATAATAGGTTGTCCAGGCCACAAGCTGTATAAGAGTCTAAGCAGGAAATCACTAATATAGATAAAGTAGCTGGAGTGATACAGATGTTGAGCATTGGATCAACCTGTTTGACGGCTATATCAGGTAGAACGCAACTAGTGGAATCAAGAGATGATATTGACGAAAAGTTATTAGCAAACAATTCAACTTTGTCATTAGGTGAGGTGACAAAGTTTGAACCATACAAAATAGGTGGAATTACAGGCTTGCCCTTATTATTGATACTATTAAAGATTCTCTAGAAGTCACGAGAGCCTAATTTTTGAGATGAAATATGAGATTTCATAATCTGAGAATAGCGGGCTTTGGCTGCTATTCTTAGATCATGAAAAGATCATAAAACCTTTTTATAATGGTTCCTAGCAGTAATAAACAAGTGCCTGTTTTCTAGAGAATTGTTTTGCTGATAGATATGGAAGTAATGGTTTCGATTGGCAATTGCAGCAGCACAATGTGAGGAAAACCATGGAGAAGAGTGAGGTTTGAATCGTGGAATCCTGGAATCTTCAAGAGGGATTAAAGGATTCCATGCCAGCCTGAATCCACAAAGTTATGTAAGAAGCACATTTGTCAACAGGAAGACAAAGGATTTCTACCCAATGGCCATCAGGAAGAAAATCACGGAAAGAGTATCAGTCAGCTTTAAGGTAGTTGTAAAATGTGCAATGATAGGGGGAGTCTGATGATAAAAGAAGAATAAGATAATAGTTTTAGAGAGATCAAATTGTGATCAGAGCACATTAACAAAACCTAATAACTCTTACCCATCTTCATGATTTCTGACTTAAAAAACCTTCAACTTTTTAAGTATTCACTTAATCGTTTCCTTGCTCTTTAACTCTATCCTCTATTTTCTAGTAACTTAACTTTATAATTGTGCTTGCAACTTTGTTATAAGGGAATTAATTAATTTATATATATATATATATATATATATATATATATATATATATATATATATATATATATATATATATATATTGGGATTGATATTTGACCGGGACCCGGTTTGTGACCGGGGCTGCATAAACAATTATACATCCTAAAGAATATATTTTTAATTCAAAATTCATGTTATATTTTGTATATACATGCATATATAAACATCATTATGATCAACATGGTCATCATAATCATCATTACCATCATGATGATGATGGTAATGATCATCATCATAATCATCGTCATCATCATAAGGCTTTAGTTTTCCTCTTTTATGCTGTTTCTCTAATATAAACAATCTAGAGTATTTTCTTTTTTTAACTAACCCTCATTCATACAATATATAAAGCACTCTCTTCAAGTTTTCTTACTTCTACCACTACCATTATCTCCTAAAGCTTCTACCTCTCTACATGCCTTTACCTAAATCACTTTAATCTTCTCCAACAAGCCTTGTTCAATAAAACGCTTTTTTTAAATCTGTTTAAGACTATGCCTCCTTTTCTTGTCGTGTTAGAGTCACACCACACATTCATCTGATCATCTTCTTTTTTGGCAAATACTACATCATATAAATGCATCATATACATATAAATACATCATATAAATGCTAAAGTATATAACGCATCATATAAATACATCATATAAATGCTAGTGTTTATATAAATATGAAAGGATATTGTTTGCCAGCATAAATAGCAAAAATATATGTTTATACTCATAATATTTACGCATAAAGCGCATTTTGGAAGCTTTTATTCCTTTTGGAATAAATGCTTGCAAGCTTCTATTCCTTCTCTTTTATATTATGTCAAGCGACAGCTCCCGACACATGAAACACGCCTGTAAATGAATATCCAGGCGCCACAAATAGCGCTTGTTAGTTTTGTTACGAAAGTAAAAAATTGCGCTCGTTTATTTTATTGATCTATTATTGATATATATTGCGCCTGGAAGTTCATTCACGGGCGTCAGGAGCGATTACTCACAATTCATCACAACGCCTGTAAAGTATTATAAATTTTTTACTAGCTTTGGCTATCAACCCTGTTGAGTAATTGCCAGGGCCAAGGCCAGGTTTTCAAAAAGTCTTATTTTTAAAGGGACAGTGGATGGTGCCTCAGTCATTTACTGTACACACATATACAATGACATAAAATGTGTAATAAATTATACAGATTGTTACAGTTTTTTGTTTGTTTATTTTTTGAAGATTCTGCTTTACAACCTGTACAAACAATACTTCCTGAAGAAAGAAAACTGCTAAATGTAGAATTCACTCCACAGTAAAATGTGTTTGTTTTTTTATTTCTATAACATTTATGTTTATTTACATGTGTATATTATTTTGTTAGAACGTTTATGTATATTTATATTTACCCTACTGGAAAAATGTTTTTGGTTATTTGAAAAATAATTATTAATACTACTTTTAGTTATTTTTATTATAAATATTTTTGAGTAATACAATATTTATTTTGCCATAGAACCATAAATGGTTCTTGATTGGTTTTTTAAATTTGTTAAATTAGTTAACATTTCTATTCATTCTATAAAAACTCAATCAGATTACAATCTGGTGATTTATATTTATTTATAAGAACTTTAGTATATTATTTAGATAAATATATTTACTATTGATAATTAAAAATTAAAATTTTTTATAGTTTTTATTATGTTAGAAGTTTTCATGGTTGCTGATTGCTGAAAAATAAATCAAATGTTTAAAATTCTTTGTCCAGATGGAAATACCTGTCAACTCAACAGTTCTACTCAACAGTTGGTATAATACATCAATCATTTGGTAACTTTTGGTGCACATATTGACTTTGTTTTACTCAGAATATTTTAAGTATCATTTGTGCATAAGACCTTACCTTATTTATCTGTTGACAAATCTTTATATTTTTAGCCCATCTTTTTCTATTCAATCTGTTTTACTAAATTAAAAAAGGCTTTTTGAATGCTACACGTCCTTTTAATCCATATTTTTGGAAACACCACACCACAGTTGACATATAAATTGGCTTTTAGTAAATAGAATTCAATTCCTCATGGAAGCAATATTGTCTAATGATATTGTCTTGTGTGCACCCTCAGTCAAAAGTCTCCAGAATTTACTTTTCGTTTTTAAAGTTTACTTGTCGTTTTTAAAGTTTACTTGACTACTTTTTTTGTTGTTTTTAAAGTTTACTTGACTACTTGAAAACTAGATGCTCTAGTTTTGCTTTAAAGAAAAGTTTTCTTTATTTTAAGAAGAAAATAACTTAATAAACTTTTAGCAAAAACAATTCTCAATAACAATTCTCAAATAATTTTGTTTAATAATATTTGTATTCCTATTTTTAATTGTCTGCTTGGTATCTTTTGTAAAAAAAAAAATATGTTTTTTCAACGTCTTTGCTTCCAACAAGGCTGTAAGCAACCACTATTAGAGTTGGAAGTTACTGGAAGAAAAAAGATAAAAAAATAACAAAAAAATACTAAATAACGATTGACAGATGACTTAAAAGATTGACAGATGACTTAAAAGATTGCAAATTATATGAATCAGGAAAACAAGGTGAAAGAAGCGAATTTTGAAGGACTGATGTTCAAGGAAAAAAACTAGACAAATAAGAGTTTTTAGAGTCACAAAAAAAAGACTTAATTAAATGACGAATAACAAAAGAATGGATTATAGTAGATGGCACAAGAGACGCTAACTCTTTAGAGCAGCGACGGTTTATTTAATATTTGCAGAAAAGAGAAAGAGAAGCAACATTACATGATAATGGTTAAGGTTGGCTGCAAGAGCAGGTCCAACTATGTTTACAATGTGTTTTTGCACCTTATCTAAAAGAGAAAGGACATCGTTGGAAGATATGACAACAGTATTCCATACAAGGACGGATTTGAGATTTATAGAGATAAAAAATAAAATCTGGAGTAAGAAAGTGTTGAGTACGATAAAGTAATACAACCTTAGCAGATGCTAATTTTGCAATGAATTTGATATATGATTTCCAAGAAAGATTGAAAGTAAGAGTTAATCCTAGAAGATAAAGAGTAGATGACACATCAAGTATGTCTAAATTATTGTGGTAACAACTTTGCTGAAAAAAATTGGGTTTTATCTGAATTAAAGTTCACCAGCCACTGTGAGCCCCATGCTGTAGCAAAAGTGAGATCCTTTTCAAGCTCAGATGCCTCCTCCAAGCAATCAGAGAGTGTTGGCTTCTTATCAAGACAAGAATATATGGTAGTACTATCAGTGAACAATGCCACCTAAAATGTGAGAATATCTGGAAGATCGTTAATTTAAATTAAAAAGGGCATTGGGCCAAGGGTAGAACCTTGAGGAACCTCTAAAGTTAATGGATATGAAGAAGAGTGCTGTCCATCAAGGATTACTTTAATATTATGATTGGTAAGAAAGAATTTAATAATCTTAAAGATGTTACCTGATACACCATTTCAAGAGAGCTTATGTAGAAGACCAGCATGCCAAACCTTGTCAAAAGTTTTGGAAATGTCAAGAGCTATAGCCTTAACCTCTCCACCTCTATCTATCTATTACTGTTAGCAAATCAGCTGTGGAACCAGAAGATCGAAATCCATATTGATGATCAGAAAGTTATTAGGTTCAAGATGAGAGATTAAGTGTTAGTTAATTAAAGATTTAAAAACCTTGTTTATAATAGGAAGAAGATTAGCGGAAAGATAGTTGAATGAGTCAGATCACTCTTCAAAATATTTGAAAATAGGGACAACAGATGTCGCTTTCCAGCATGCTGAAAAACAAGATTCTGATAAGCCCTTGTTAAATAGTTTTGAAAGTATAGACAATAGCTTCAGAGAATACTTCTGCAAGACAATAACTGGTATGTTTTCAGGACCACAATCTGTAGCTTTAGATACAGGAGCTGAAGTGATGCAAATGTCAAGCAATTGATCAACCTGTTTGTTGGTTATACCAGGTAATACAAATAGTGGAATCAAGAGATGGTATTGATGAAGTTTATTAGTATATATATATATTTATACATACATATATATTAGGTCTAGAAGTTAATTTAGTAAGAGAGCTTTATAATTTTAATTAGTATTTAAAACAGAAAAAAGTAACTTTAAGTTTAAATATAACAAAATCAAAATGAAGTTAATAAACTAATTTCTAAGAACTTAGAAACTTTTCTTACTTGGGGGAAAGAATCAGTTATCGGATACCCTGAGGAAAATGGATTAGTGATTAAAATTAATTGTATTAACTTGGATGATTATTAATATTTTCATTGAAAATGCAGTTATTATTGAAAGTATTTTTGTTTAAAAAAACAATCGCACAAATTGCTTTAAAAGATTACATTTGAATAAAATACACATGCATAAAATTACATACATAAAAAATACATACATAAAAATACATTGCATACACAAAAATACATTAAATACAAAAAAATACATTACATACATAAAAAATACATCCCTTACATATAAAAAATAAGAATATACTAATAAAATCTATAATATATTTACAAAACGTTGACAAGTTAAAAAATATAAATTTAAAATGGCGCACCCAAAACTCAGTAAACAACAAATATTTTCGTTACAAAAATTTAAAGTCAATTTTCATTGGCTAATAAATTAAATTAGACTTGAGCACGTTTTCAAATTTTCTAGTTTACTAAAGTACATGACAACTTTAAGCAAGATGACTTCTCTTGAAAGCTTTAAAGAAGAAAGGATTAATTTTCTCCATCCCTGTTTGTAAATCTTGTATCTGTGGTCAGATAAAGTTTTTCAGCAAATGACAATTCAAAGATTTGAGCGGTGTCAAGTAAGTAATGTAAATATCATGTTTAATCATATCATGTTTTATGGAATTATATCATAAATATCTTATTTAATCGTATCATAATCACTTATATCATATTTAATACAAGCCAAATTTAATCAGATAAGTATTTAAAATGTAAGATAGAGTTATAAGTTATTATTTTCTTTTATAAGGATTAAATTACTTTAAAAAATCTAATCTTCTTAAATTGGATTTTGCTTAAGGTTTTTCTTATGCTTTTCTTCTTTAAGGATTTATTTAACAGATGTGAAATATATTGCAAAACAATGTGAAATATATTGGTAATACACATTTGGCGATGTAACAGCTTTAAGAAGACATAGACTATACGAAGTGGTTTTTTTGAATGTTTAACATCAGTGTAAGTGATATACTTCAACTTATGTTGTTATGGGTTTCAGAGGTCCCTGTTACTGCTGCAGCTGATTTAGTAGGTATAAGCTAACCAACTTCAGTTCAGTAGTATCAGTATTTTAGAAACATCTGCTCATTTAAAGTTTTATGTTGCAGCTGTAAACCAGCTGGGATAAGATACACATACTGATGATGAGAAGAATATACATGGAGAATCTAAAAACGACGAGATTAAGAAGAAAAGACAATTTGAAGATATAAATTAAAAAATAACTCAATTGGAAAAATTTAACATTAGTTTAAAATTAACAATCTAGTGAAGATTTTGGATAAGAAAAACTTAATGAAAGAAAAGTAAACTGAAGAATATCAGAATATTTATTTTAAAAAGCAATAATATATTTTATGTTTTTATTTGAGATTTAAAACTGTTAACACTTATACATAACTTTTTTAGTGTTTTTTGTAAATTTATAACTTGTCACAAAACATTTCTTAAATAAGCTTACGTGAAATAGTGAAATCTTACTTAAAATAATAAAGCTTTAAAAAAAACTTACTTAAAATAATAAAACTTCTATATATTTTAATTCTAATACCAGTAGTATATGTGTAAATAATGTAATGTTATAGTTGTAATTGTTTATATTTGGTTTGTAAATATTTAATTAAAGTTTTAAATTTTAAAAATGGTTTTAGAAAGTTTTTTTTTTCCTTCAAGGTAGCCATTTTGGCACTTGTTGTATTAGCACGGTTTTACCATCCTGTAAAATACTCAGTATATTTATCAAGAATTTTCGTAACAAAAGCTTTTGTTGTTTACCGAGTCCAACATTTTAAAGTCCGACATTTTAAAGTCCACCTTTAAAACATTTATTTTTGTGAACAAATAATGTTAGTTTAAAACGTTTTTTAATGTTAGTTTAAAACGCTGTTTAAGTTAGTTTAAGATGCGGCTCCGAGAATGAGCAGTAGTATTAAAAAGTTCGTTTGATATTCTTAAAACAATTTATGCTAGAAATCTTAACGAAAACAAAACTAAACTCAAATAATACAATTTTTAAAAATATTTTAACAGAATACTCTCGAACATTCGGTTAGTATTTTTTGAATACTCTAGAAATATTCTTTTTTTATTTATCCGCACAAAAATGTTTGTTTTTTCCATCTAAGGGAGACAAGAACACTTTCCATCTAAGGGAGACAAGAACACAAGCAAATTGAGAATGACAATAACTTTATGGCAAAAAAAATTTAATTTTTCACATCTTAAATTTAAGTTGTACAGGCAAAACTAAATCAAATGCTGAAAATGCACAATAAATGTGTGAAACAAAGAAAATACAATTACAAAATACAAGTGTTAAGATGAAACAATAAACTGTTTAATGTTTCAAAACTACATATATATATATATATATATATATATATATATATATATATATATATATATATATATATATATATATATATATATATATATATATATATATACATATATATATATATATATATATATATATATATATATATATATATATATATATATATATATATATATATATATATATATATATATATACATATATATATATATATACATATATATATATATATATATATATATATATATATATATATATACATATATATATATATATATATATATATATATACATATATATATATATATATATATATATATATATATATATATACATATATATATATATATATATATATATATACATATATATATATATATATATATATATATATATATATATATATATATATATATATATATATATATATATATATATATATATATATATATATATATATATATATATATATATATATATATATATATATATATATATATATATATATATATATATATATATATATATATATATATATATATATATATATATATATATATATATTCTTGCATGGCAGTGAAAAAGAGTTTCCCATAAACTGTAGTTTTAAAGAGCGCGTTAATAAACCAGACCAGAAAAAATTTAATTTTTTTTTTTTTAATGATAGACTGCCTGCCCAAACCAAACCCTCAGTCGATGTAGCAGCACTCCCTTGCAAGTCAGGCTATTTGTCAGTCGATGTAGCAGCACTCCCTTGCGAGTCAGGCTATTTGTCAGTCGATGTAGCAGCACTCCGTTGTGAGTCAGGCTATTTGTCAGTTGATGTAGCAGCACTCCGTTGCGAGTCAGGCTATAAGATAGTTGATGTAGAAACACTCCCTTGTAGCAGCAGGTTATAAGATAGTCGATGTAGCAACATTTACGCATGTTTTAAAAATGTTTTTTAATAAAACAAAAACAAAAACACCACTAATTAAAAAAAATTTTCTAGTCGTTATTATTGCGGTTTTTTAAAATTTTTTTAAAAAACAATAAAATTTAATGTACTTCCGCATTAATTCAATTGCTTTGACATTTTGACGACAATCAAATACAGCTTAAGAGACGAGGTAATTAAAAATGTAATCAAAAGAGACTTTTTTTTACATTAAAAGACTCTTTCGACTACACTATAAGGATATATATATATATATATATATATATATATATATATATATATATATATATATATATATATATATGTATATATATATATATATATATATATATATATGTATATATATATATACATATATATATATATATATATATATATATATATATATAAATATATATATTTTTTTTTTTTTTTTGTAATCAAAAGAGACTTTTTTTTACATTAAAAGACTCTTTCGACTACACTATTAGGATATATATATATATATATATATATATATATATATATATATATATATATATATATATATATATATATATATATATATATATATATATATTTTTTTTTTTTTTTTTTATGCCATGTAGACAATCATTAGCCATAAAATACAAATTCAAAAATAAAATAAAAAATAGTAAAAAAAAAATTAAGAATACAATGGAACAAGTTTTCAATTAAGGTTAATTAAATTAAGTTATTCTTGTATGCCATACATCAAATTGGTTCTCACAGTAGAAATATTTTATAAAATCATAATATAATAATAATAGAAATATCTGCCCATTGAGAAACAAATGTCTATCTAATAACATTATATACCAAGCAACAGTATGTTCTAATAAATCTGAATACAAAGATAAAGTATATGTTGGCTTAAGTGTAACCTCTTTTAAAGTTCATTACACAAACCATTTTAAAATCATTCAACACCAATAAATATAACATGACACAGCTTTCCAAAGAAATATGGGAGCTAAAAGGAAGTAATTTCTGTGCCATCTATTAAATGAAAAATTATTAGACGTTGTAGACCTTACATCCTGGCTTCAAAAAATTGTCATCTTTTTGAAAATGAATTATTTTTATAAAGGCACTAAATTATTTAAAAATTGCTAAAAATGACTTTATGTGCAGAAACAAAATCAAATTTCTGTTGTACTTCTATGACACTGGGGCACTGGTGATTTGAGAACCATTATACATTTTTTCTTTCATTAGATCTAACATTGCTATAGAGATGTCAGAACTTGTTCCATTATATAAGTAATTTTTTTAAACGTTTTTTTTTTTTGATTTTGAAATTTTATTTTATGGTTGATGATTGCCTACATGGGATGAATTTTCATATCCCATAATATATATATATATATATATATATATATATATATATATATATATATATATATATATATATATATATATATATATATATATATATATATATATATATATATATATATATATATATATATATAATGCTTTATTTTATAATTTTACTTTAAACTTTTGTACTGTTTACAATAAAAAGTTATTGTAGTAAATCTATTGTTTTTCTTTTTATATGTTAATATTATTAATATAAAATGGAAAAAGCATCTTTTATTCAATTTTGACAAACTATATAAGCTTATATTTTCAAAATGTATTATAATCTTCTTAAACAGTTTCCATGTTTCTCTAATAAGTTAAAACAGCTTAAATGTGTCCTAACTATACTTGCTTTTCTAAGATCTCATTTGTTTCTGCCATGGCTTCTGTATATCAACATATATAATTATGATTTGAGATGTATAGAGTATTGGAGTAAAGCCATAAACAATTTTTACAAAATTTGTTTTTATTACAACTTTTATAGAAACTTGGGAAAAGTGGAAATTTTTCTTGTTTTCCACTTTGTTGGTTTTGATGTTTCACACACAATTGGAGCAAATGTTGTTGATCAGTTAGAAGAAGGTTTGAAGTGTAAAACACCTTTTGTAAATCAACCAACATTTTTTGGAAAAAAAATCAACACACGGAGTAGTAAATCAACACTTGTACCAGGACAGAAGCCTTTAAGGTAAATTTATTATTTTTAATAAATTTAATGAATCTAGATGATCAGAAAGCTTGGGTCTTAAAAATAAAATTACAAAAAAATATTTAAAAAAAAAATCACTTTAGGGGTAGTCCACGAATTATGTTACAATTTTTGATTATTTGAATCTTATCACAACATTGTCTCAAAATACTTAACCCTCCTCCCCCTCCCCCTAAAGTGTAACGTAATTTATGGACAACCCTTATTAAAAGCATCTAAATTTTTAAAATTGCTTTTTAAAATATCATTAAAAATACTTGTGAAAATCCTTTTTTTTAAATTTTTTTTTATTTTTAAATAAAATTATGATTATTTTCAAAATTTGCATGTAATTTTGCTTTATTTGATTCTTAACATGGTATATTTTTGAGAAACCTCTTTTTTATATTATTTAATAATATAAAAAAAGAGGTTTCTCAAAAATAATAGAATTATCGCCTTATAATATTAGGGATCCATTAAATGTTTTAGGGCCTTAAAGCATCCCTAAAAAAATGTTTATATAGGACTCCTTTAGGAGGCGTGTAGGACTTTTTTTTCTTACTATCTTATTTACTATAATCCATTAAAAAAATTACTTTATTGATTTATTATTAGAAATGGCTAAATTATTATTAGAAATGGCTTTAAGTGCTGCTTACTAATATACAGTGTAAAATTCTTTTTACTAATATAATGTGCACAATTTGGTTTTTGTTAGAAATCGTATGAAATTTTATGAAAGAAATTGTGTACAAAATTTCTTGAATTGGTGGAATATTTTTAGGGGAACAGCCCATTTATTGTTGAGTACCCCAAGGTTTCACTTAGATTCATAGTATCCATCATAATATCCAACTTTCATACATGCTTCAAGAAATCTTTAAAATGTTCCTTTTTGTCTTTTATTTTATAACAATCTTGTATTTTATAACAATCTTAATATTAATTGTAATTTTAAATTTCTTTTTGACACTTAGTAGAAAATAGTATGAAAAATACTCTTAGAGTAACTATAAATATTTGTAAATATTTAAAAAGAATATTTTAAGTGAAAATTTAATTGATTATTATAAATTTAATTAATTAAAAGTTATTACAATAATTTTTAATTAATTAAGTTTATAACATTTTGTTTTTACTAGGTTTTATATATTTACATTTACATACACTTATTATACTATTATATTTTAGCATTTTGATTATAGATTTATAGATTTATAAGCGTTAATTTAAATTGTATTGTATATTTTTAATATTGTTATTCTTATTTGTTTGTGTATTATATTTTTTTAGAAAAACAAAAATATTTCTACCCAACAAGCTTGCACAATATCCTATTCCTTCATATATAAAAGATTGTGTTTTAAATTCAAGTGGAAACCTAGAAAAACTCATACCTGAGATATCACAGGTTGAAATTTTTATAATTATATTTAATTTATTATACTTATTATAATAATTATACTTAGCTTATTTATATTTAAAAGGCAAATTTCTTTGTTGCATTTTTTTCTTATTTTTATTATTATTTCTTTGTATCTTTTTAAGCCACTGCACATCAGCAATTATAGAAAAAAATTCTCAAGCCTTCTTTATATAGAAGAAATTCATAAAGATGAAGAAATGAAAGAGTTTGACTTAGAGATGGTTGGTAACTTAATCATTTCAAATTTTAAATAATCACTTGTCATAAAATAATTTTAAATGTTTTCAAAATTTATTATTAATACATTTCATTTTATTAATTCTTTATAATTTTAGGTAATTTTGCGTCCTGCTGGAGAGTATTTATCATTAAATGTCCCTGGACTAGCTGAAGGTCGACCTTCACTTTTACTTGGGGATAGAGTTATTGTTTTTTTTCATTGTAAGTTGTTTAAAAATATATCTGAGTTTTATCTCTGATTTTTCATCTCTTATGAATATTTTTTTTACATCAAATTTTTAAATAATGAAGAAAATCTGAAAATAGCTTTTTATGGTAGGATTAAGATTGTGTCATGTTTTATTGTTTTTCTTACCTAATAACAATAAACTTATCTTTAAACTTAAAAACTGATGTAGATTTAATACTGCACAGGTATTCTTTTTTAATGAATATATTTTAACTTTTTTTTTTTTTAATTTTTTAAGAATCTTATTCATTCTTGCATTTAGAATTACTAAGAGAAAAGGCTTGATATTAAATCTTATTTTTTATTTTTCTACATTTATTTTTTTCAAGTTAAAATTGTTTAATTTTTTTAGTTGAAATGTTAAATTTTTCATATATTTTTTCTTTTAATTAAAAACAATATCATTTTTTACCTTATTTTATTTAGCAAAAGGCCAGCAATCTCCTAGTTATGAAGGATATATACACCAAGTAAGTTATTAAAAAAAGTTTTATTAGTAAATTGTTTTTAGTGACATCAAAAATAAATAACAACAATGTAAAACAAAAAACATTTTTTGTTTGTGATGTATCTACAGAGTTTTTAAATTGTAATTCAATCCCAACAATCTCAATCCCATCATGGCTGCAAGCAATTAACATGGCTGCAAGCAGTTAACATGGCTGCAAGCAATTAACATGGCTGCAAGCAGTTAACATGGCTGCAAGCGATTAAGAAAGGAGTAACTAGAAAAAAAAAAATAGACTTGAAGAGCAAAAAAACAATTGACAGAAGACTTGAAAAGTTCAAGGTTGTGTAAGTAAGGAATGAAGATGGGAGAGTGTTCCAAAGGGTAGAACTGCAGGAAAAAACAAGACAAATAAAAGTTTTAAGAGCATGCAAGGATAGATACAGTTAAAGGATGTGAGAATGAGTTTTTGTTAATGCAACTAAAGATCATAGCTCCTTTGAACAGTGACCATCAGTTTTGAACAGTGACCATCAGTTTTTTGTAGAAAAGAGAAAGTGATGCAACTTTACAACAATGAGAGACTCAAGCTTGGCATATAAAGGTCCAACTACATTTATAATGCATTTTTGGGTGGTGTCTAAAAGAGAAAGAGCATCATTAGAAGAACAAGCCCAATGTAACAACAGTGTTCTCTACCGAGACAAATAAAAGATTTGTAGATGTAGATAATAGAATCAAGAGAAAGATAATAGTGAGCATGATAAAAATAAAAAATATATAAAGTAGCTTAGTAAATGCTAACTTAGCAATTGATTGTATATGTGGTTTCCATGAGAGGTCTGTAATGAACAATAATCTAAGATGATGTAAAGAAGAAGACTCAGTGATAGGGTTGTCATTTATTAATATAGGAATCAACAGTATTCCAATAGTTTTTTGCAGTAAAGAACTGAACTTTGTTTGAGCTAAAATTCACAAGCAACTGCAAGCCCCAATTTGTTACAGAAGTGAAATCAGATTTAAGATTGGCTGCTTGTTTTTAGCAACCGAAAAAAGAAGACTTTTTGTCGAGCCAGGATATAAATTTGAGTCATCAACAAATAGAGCCACTTTAGATGCAAGATTATTGGGAATATCATTAATTTAGATAAGAATTAATACAGGACCAAAAATAGAACCTAGAGGTGCCCCAGAAGTTACTGGAAATGAAGAAGAGTGTTGGCTTTCTAGGATGAAATTGATAAAGCGGTTAGAAACAAATGGTTTGATAATCTCAAAAACTTTCCCAAATAAACCATGTGAAACATACTTATGGAGAAGACCAGCATGCCAAACCTTATCGAAAGCTTTAGATATGTCAAAAGGCATTTTATGCTCAATAAAATGGAAGCAACTATTCCAGTCACAGTTAGCAAGTAAGCTGTAGATTGATAAGATCGAAAGCCATATTAATTTTGGAACATGAATTGGCAGGCAAAAAAATAAGATTCAGTCAAGCACTTGTTAAATAGTTTAGAGTAAATCAAAGAAAGTTCTGGAGAACGTTTTGTAAAACTATGACAAGAATGTTGTCTAGATCCTAAGCAGTAAAAGTGTTTAGTTAAAGTATAACTTTAACAAAAACTGGAGTGATTTGAATTTCTAACAATGGGTTAACCATTTTAACTGGTATTCCAGGAAGATATATATACTAATTTATATATATATATATATATATATATATATATATATATATATAAATTAGTAGAAAATCACTTAGTAAAATTTTTTCTCATTTAACACTGTGTTTCATCAATAAAGACTCAACAGAATATTTTTATTAAATTTTTCTTTATTGATGAAACACAGTGTTAAATGAGAAAAAATTTTACTAAGTGATTTTCTACTAATTTGTAATTGCTCTGTTCTTTTAAGAACATTGAGCACTCTTATTGTAGAATACATTTTAAATTGTTTAAATATATATATATATATATATATATATATATATATATATATATATATATATATATATATATATATATATATATATATATATGTATATATATATATATATATATATATGTATATATATATATATATATATATATATATATATATATATACATATATATATTTATATATATATATACATATATACATATATATATATATATATATATATATATATATATATATATATATATATATATATATATATATATATATATATATATATATATATATATATATATATATATTAATTTCAAGTTTTTGCTGAGGAAAAAATAAGTTTTTAAATTATATTTTAAATAAATTACTAATTAAGCAGAAATTAGATTACAAAAAAAAGCAGAAAAGAAATATCAAAAAAATAGTAAAAAAAATAGAAAAAAATAAAATAAATTAAAAAAAGAAACAAAAAAAAAAAAGAAAAACAGTAAGAATAGCAACATTAGGCTGAAGAATAAGTAACAGTAAGAACAACATTAGCAACATTAGCATTAGGCTGAAAAGATTTCTTAAGTCAAAGCAGAACTAAACTTTGTCTTAAGTTTTTTATCAAAAAATAATTATA